CAGCAGAAAGAGAACACACCACAAAAATCACACTACACATCTAATAATCCTCGTCGTCGGAAATTGAAAGGAATCGTACCGTTTTGCAGTCCAATACTAGATTCCTCTGTATTAATATTGTAAAGGATCCCTTCGTATCTGATCTCGCTCTTGGATGTCAAACTAATCAAGCTCCCTACGTAAGAATCCGCCGCGGAGCTCGATTTCGCGCCCGTATTAGTAGCCGCCATATCCGATCGCCGAAATAGCACGAAGAATCTCACAGAGAAGGAGAGATTCAGGAGAAAATCTAAAGTCAAGAGAAGGCAAGCAAGCAAACACACTCCGCGAGTTCCTGATCCCCTTCGAGAGAGAAAGCTATAGAAGAAGAAACAAACGATTAGGGTTTACTCTAATTTGGGGGGGATGAGATCGACCATCATCTCTTTCTGATTATCTATTCCCGTTAAAAAGCCCAAAAAGAGAAAAGAAAATCTATCTGACCATAATACCCTTGTGTCGTTTCATTGACTTCTATCTACTAGCTAATCACTAAAGGCCACGTGTCTACTTGCGGGGCCTCGCCGTAAATTTATCTCAGCGATGGATGATGTGTTTAGGCACAACCAGCAGCTACGAGCCGACGAGCTACTCCAAATCCACGGCTCGTGTTTCCCATTGCTTACTAGCTTAGTGCGAATTTACTTGTATCTTTCAATTTTTTGGGTTAATTCCATAATTAAACGAGCGTGTCCAAGGTCGTGCTTGCTATAGTAAAAATAAGAGAAAATTAACAAATATATCACTTGTTGGGAAAAATGTTTTCCAATCTACCACATTTTTCAAACTTTTTTATTGACTACCACAATGGCAGAAAAGTAAATACAAAACGGACATAATTACCTCCGGCACGTTTATATGAGGAAGGTTGAGCGTAGGACAAGACAAGTTTGTTTTGGCGGGAGAATTTTCAGAAACAACTTTTAATGTTCTAGTGTGTAGGATAAAACCCAAAAAATAATAATTAGATTTGAGAAAATATAATAGGTCAGGTAATCGAGATTTTTAAAAATAATCAAGCA